CTGCAATGAAGCATCTGCAAGTTGACAATACAGAAGACACAGCAGCGTTCTCATGATATCTCTAACTATCTACAAAAAAAATAAAGCAATTAAAGCACAAAACTAATAATCTAATAGGATAGCAATGCATTGTAGTGCAAATACATGTAATGTTGCCAGACCCAAGATCATTCATTCATTCACTCTTTCTTTCTTTCTTTCAAAGTGGCAAAAAAAAAATCTGTATTTCCATCAAATTTACCTTTTTAAAAATTTATATATATTTTTTTTCTCTGCAAAGTCTGATAAGAATCCTCTTTGGAAATCCAAACAATTAGAAAACAAAAAAGAGAAAGAAAAAAGAAAGTGTCTGCTGAGAAGGAATTCTGCCTGCTACCCAGGGGTATATTTTATACACACACGTACATACTCACACACAGAAAAAAAAAAAAAAAAAGAAGAAGAAAAAAGAAACAAGAGGAAGAAAGAAAAAAAAGAGTCTTGTTTGATGGCCAGGAGGGATGACACCGCCTGTTCCTTCTCATAATTGCATTCAGATACTCTGGATACATATTTGCCAGCTCTCATGACCCACTGATGCTATTCCCTCCTAAGGAAAGCAGGCACTCACCAGATATTAGAGAAGCAGCTTTTAACACCAATAAAGGATTTGTACTGGCTGTATTTAAGACTGAACAAGGACTAAGGAGAAGCAATTTCACAACACAAGTTTGGGCTTTTCTCTTTTTCAAAGTAGGTATTCCAGTGGGAGAAGGTAAATTAATAATTCCCCTGGCTTATTTTTTATCAAGCATTGCTTTGGTTGGTGATTGAGACCCACACTAAAACATACATTTATGATAATTTGGGGGGGAGAGCAGCACCCCTTTGTGAATGATGCATTTAAGTTGGAGCAGGTCAGCATCTCCAAACCTGAGGTGACCCAGAAAGCTGCCACTTGCTGCTGAAATCATCCCCTACTGAGTTTACAGGAGAGGGAACTACCAAACCTCGACGACTCAGGCTTGTTTTCACAAGGGTTTTTTTTGGGGGGGCTCCTGTGGAGTCCTGTGCCCTGTCTAGGTCTCTCAGGGTCTCCTGCCCTACCTTTCTACACTTTGAGTTGTCCACAGTTAGCCCCGCATGCTGGTGCACTGCACCAAGCTAATCATTGGCACGGAGAGAAAGGATATTGTCAGAGTGCAAAATGATCTGTTTTCAGGCAGGAAGCAGTCAACTAGATGTAAATTCCATGAAACAAAAGAAGGTATTATTTACAGTTTTATTGTGATGTTAATTAATATTTACATCTTGGAATGAAAAATAGAAATGTTAATGATTGGCTTTACTAAGAGGATCACTTGATGCCAATGTGAAAGCCAGGGAGAGAAGGCAATTATGCAAACATCACATGCATCCTAATTTCAGTATGGAAACTTACATTTCAAACCTCAATTCAGGAAAATAACATGGAAAGTTTGTACTACAAAATCTAAACATGAGAAAGATTTAAGAGAAAAAAAAGCACATTGCATATGTCAGATAATCTAGTCTGATTATCTGAGCTGTGCTAGCTACAGGGAAGCACTTACCCTTGAGTCCAGCTAGAAGTTAGCAGGGTAAGAAGGAACAAACCAGAATAACATAAAGACTAGCAACAAGGCTCAGGAAAGCAGACAGGAGCCCTAACCTAGCAGCTAAATATTTGGGTTCAAGCAAAGAATGAAAAAGAAATGTAAAGAAATCAAACCGACCAAAAAAAAATAAAACAAACAAAACCACTTACAGCTGAAAATTTCTTAAGCAGCTCAATAAACCTCACTACTTATTATGGGGGAACAAGTCATAAATTCTCAAAACAACCAACTCTTACTATATGGTGTGATTTACAGTCATCAAATATAAACAGACGTTAAAAAATGAAATATAGCCACAAGTGATACACAAAACAAGTACAGACCAATCTTTCATGTTAAAAAGAAAAGGCTTAAAAAAACAAGAGAACGTTGAGCATGTTTGGGAATTTTGTTTGATGCATCACTAACACAGAACGAACAAAGATTGGTGCTTTCAGACAAGTGACCACTTTTATGAAGCTTCAATATTGCCAAAAGGTGTAATATGTATTGGCAGCATTATTGACTAGAATACTGTGCATGATTTCAACAGTAAACGAGAACAGTTTGGGGTTTTCTCTTGTACAATGGGAACACTGGAGAACAGCACAGCTTTGCGCGAATGGAGTGTTTCTGTTAAATTGTAGCAAAACAAAAAAAGCAAAACTTTTCACTCTAACATGTATTGTTCGCCCACATAAAAGGAACCGCAGTGTCAGACAAAAATTAATGAATAGCAGGATCTATTTTTTTTTTTTAGTAGTTAAATTGCAAATAAAATAAACTCCACCCTGGTTCGGAGCTGTCTGTTTACTTCCAAGCCAAGTGCTGCTACCAAGCTGTGGATGAGAATTTGAGCGCAGCTCCAAGTTTGTATTTACTAAATCAAAAGAGGTGGGAAGCAAATGAATTGGCTACTTCTCCCAAGCTTCCCCAATAGCACACTACATGCTTCTCCAGGTTCTGTTTAACAGACAGCTCCACCGCAGGAGCGGAGGGCTGGATTCTCTCTGCGTGTGCATGCATGCGCCTGTGCCATCTCGGGCTGCTGCAGCAGGAAAGCTGTAAATACAGCTACTCATCAAATGGCTTAACTTTCACTTCTCTGCACACCCTCATTCACCATAGCCTCTAGTAAGCACAAAAAATTTGACAGTTATAAAGATAAATTTACAAGAAGAAAATGTCTCGCAAAAGTCCTTACCTTTCTGCAAGCAAAAAAAAAGAGAAAAAACAAGCCAAAAAAAACCCCAATAACAAACCAAGACCCTTTTAAAAATGCAATACTTGATATGTTTGAATTCCAAGACTGAAGGAGCAGAGATATGCATTTGTGCATTTAAGACTCCCAACAAGCCATCATGTGTGACATGCATGACTCACTTGTGCTTCTGACTATTGAACTGCTGTGCCCAACGACTCCTGCAACGAGCATTGCCATGTACAAATGTTGAAATATGAAAAACGGGCAGCCACTGCTGTTGAGATGAATGTGTACTATGGTGTGCTGCTCTCCTCCACTTGTAGGATGAAGATCCTGTGCATAAAGAGCTGTCAGAGGGATCTAGATCCAAGGGAGGAGGAGGAGGAGGAAGGAAGACCATGGACAAAACACACTAGCCCAGAGGCTGCTGAAATAGCGAGTCACCACCAGACTGATAAGCCAACTGGCTTCCCCCTTCCATGATGCAGCACGGCACAACCAAGAGAGTTTCCCAGTGCTTGCAGCAAAAATGTCAGCCTGCAGCTGGCCAGTTTCTGGGGAAAACATACTGTGGATGGAAAGAGGATGGTGGCATTAAAAGAGCTGAATGATCCAGATTTGGAGCTGGTATTGGCATGAGAACAAATGAGAGAAACTGAGTCCAGGTCCTGACCCCATCACATGCCCTAGAGGAACCAGGGGGCGAAATCTTGGCTGTCTTCACCAGAAGTGAGGACGAGGGATCTCTGCCTCCTGGTGGGTGAGCAAAAAGGAAAAGCCAAGGTTAAACCTGTGCCATTTCTCTAGCTCTGTGCATAGTCAGGCTGATACAGGTCTGCAGGACCATGAGCAGCACAAGTCTCAGGTGGTTAGATGCAGAGAGGACTCCTGGGCTCAGTCACCAGCTTTGCTGCTCCATGGCAAGGACAAGGCCAATCCAGCTGCCCTTTCTCTGTCCCACATAACCTAAGCAGAGAGGTTCAGCTCCCTTGACACACAGAGCACTTTGCTGTGCATGGGGACAACACACCTGAAGGTCCACGAACCCAAGCAACCCCTTTCCATCCCCAAACTCTTGGTAGACTTTGCTATAGCTGCTGCCAAGAAATTACAATGTGTCTGGGAAAGGGACCCTTCATCTGACCCCAGAGGGTCTGTTATGGTGAAGTGAATACTCCATCAACATCAAGAATTCACCCAGCAGCAAATCTTCCAAGCCTGATGTCTGCAGGAATGGGAGAAGACTGGTGGGAAAAGTGCTTCCCCATTCTGATGTTCTCTCACTGCCCTCATCCTAATCCATGTGGATCACACTGGGATGAGCAGGAGTTCATCCTCTCTGCACCAACCACACAGCTAAGAGCATCCTTCAGCATCACTTGTTAGGAGGGAGCCACAAGCAGCACCCCTCTGCTGCTCTCCCTTGCTCCACTCTGAAGGCTTTTAGTGTGTTAAAAAAGCAGCCGTAGAGGGACCTGTGCCTGCTACATCCAAAAACCTGGGCAGACGGACATACAAACCCTAGGAGGGCTCTTAGGTCAGCATGACTTGGTCAGGTCTAGAGGCCAATCACAGCCAGTAAACTTCCACTTGCAAAAGCCCAGTTCCTACCATTTTGGGTTTTTGAGAGGCATCCTTCCTTCCTGACCCTTTACACCTTGCACCCCCAACGTCAGTGTCCTGACTGGGATGAAGAGGATGAGGGCCACTGAAATGAAAATACTGACTGTGGGTTTACCATGCTGCAGCAAGCTACGTCCTCACCGACAGCAGCAGCAATGCAAGGCAGAAGGGAGTCCAAAATATGCAGGACTGTATGTATGAGGATACAAAACCCCCCAAAAGCAGCATGCAGAGGTTTCCTGCTGTAACACTGATCATACAGCTGTATGTCTTGCATTGTTATTTTCTATAAGCACATGAAGAAGTTAAACCAACATAAAAGATCGTCAAATGGTATTGATAATGACGGGGCAGATTTTCTGAGTTTCTTACAACAAAATACTCCATAACAGATTTACAGAGACTATTCTAAATGTTAAAATCTGTTTTAATTAGAAGAGTTTGCTAATATTTACCACTTTCCCGTATTTTACTTATATTTAATCATACCAATTCTTAAATTTTGCTGAAACTAGGAAGAACTGCTGTATGTTACATAACAAAGGGGCTCCAGACGTGATTGAGACCTTCAAGAAAAATGAGCGAGGAGGCATTCGTCTGGTTTATAATCAAATTACATTTGCAAGACAAAAGAAATTGCTCTAAATTTCAAATTAAGCAAACTGGGTATAACTGCACAGGACATGCAGCATAGCTACGACTTAAAAGATGATTGCTTTAAATTCACATCTAACTGGCCTGCAAAGCAACCTGTTAAAAATACCATATGTTTTCCTACAGTTGAATATTCAACAGGAGACCTCTTTTTGTGTGTGCATTTCGTACTTGCAAGATTTGCACCTGTAGTTCTGAGCACGTGACGCATTTGACAGACAGCTAATGGCGTTAATGAATTGCTCTGATCTGGGTGTGCAGTTTATTGTGTGTGGGTAAAACGTGTGTCTGCAGAAAGCAAGCTGGGTCTCAGGCTCTCAGATCCCACTCTCTCCTCCATCAAGTATTGCACTTTAAAATACTCATTGACAAATTCACCAAGGAAAGTTGTTTCTTGGGTTTGGTTGTGCGAAACACACAGGTTAACTGCTTCTGGATCCACTGATGTAAAAAGCAGCTTAATGATAACGAAAAAAATATTTAATTTTGGAGTCAGAAACACGTGTGCGATTATTGATTAACATCAAGTGCAGAAAACCTTCCCGTCAAAGACTTCTGCTCTCTAAGAGAACTTATTTACTTACAAAATTGAGAGATTGGGGCGTCTAGCTGGGGTACATTTCCTCCTTTAGCATTTAGCTTTTGCACTTGGGTAGGCGGCACAGGCTTGTGAGACTGGCCGGTGGCTCGGTACATGGCTTGGACCCACAGGATACGGTCCTGCTCATCGTCACTTGCAAAAATCACCGTGTCTCCTTCCTTCACCGCGTTGAAGAATGCTCTGCCGCCCTCCAACCCTGCCAGGGGAGGAAGCGAGAACGGAGTTTCACAGACTTTGAGGCCAGCAAAGGGATCCCCTCAGGCTTCCCACCCCACCACCGCCCTGGGTGTCCCCAGCAAGCCCCGTGCTGCCCCCGGCTCCTGGTTGAACTCAGCCCCCTCCTCTGCACCAAACTCACCTGCAAGACAGCCTGACAGGTCGCCAGGCAGCACCCTGCACCACAATTACCAAAAAAGCACTCAGATTAATCGCTTCTCTCACCTACAGCCCCATCTGTGCAGGTCCCCTGTGAGCTGCACGCTGGAGCCCCATTAAAAATGGGTTTCAAGGGGATGTGGTGGGAGGTTTCCCATTAGACCAAGTGCATCAGTGCTCACAGTGCACAAAAGGTCTTTCTTCATCTCCTCTGGGGATACCTTTATCCAGAGCATGGTGAGGATCACCACGCTCAACATGTTGCCCCACTGCAATAAAATAAATGTGGTGCTCCATGAAGAAGGAAGGCACCACTCAGCAAGAACCTCCAGGTACCAGGCGGCTCTAGAATCCTGCCCTGTCCACTCACATCTATCAGAGAGAAAACTTGATAGGCAACAGTGCTGGTTTAGTCCCACAAACATTTTCTACAACAAAGCCAGGCATAGCTGCTAGCCTTTTATCTAGAGAATATAATCTGGAGGTACAGGTTAGGATCATCACTCAATTCGAGCATTCAGGTCACTATCGAATTTCACTGGGATTTAAGCATCTAATTCACTTAAGCTCCCCAGAAGAGATGAGTCTTTCCCTCCTCTGGTGCAACTCCCAGCTCAATCCCCTATATCTATTTATAGTAAAGCCATGCATAGCTAATGCTCAGTATAAACACAAACATATTTATAATAATGCTGATCACAGTTCAGCTGCAAGCAGGGATGGAGAGAGGGGACTCCCGTTTGGGAGCTGTCGGCAGCGCGGGGAGCAGGAGCAGCTGTGGGTCCCCCCGTACCTGGCTGCGGGTCGGTGTAGTCCACAGTGTATCCGTCGAGCTGCAGTAGCTCTTGAGGTTCAGCTTTTTTCTCCCGGTAGCTGCACATAGCAAACGTATATTGACTAACCTGGAGGAAACCACAAAGCTAAGATGGCACCGGGTGGTCAGGACAAGGCAATCCAAAGTGCTTACAGCGGAGCGGGCTGCTGGCATGTGTGCAGGGACCTGGGGGTGGTGGGGTAGGTTTGATGCTCGTTGCCCGTACGAGACAGACTAAACTTTTCACCAGGCTTTTGCAAAGCTCCCTCTTAACACACCCTGCCGTGGCAGGCATCTAATTCTCTGCATCAGAACATACAGCGGTTTCATTTCCTTCCTCAGAAGCGGCTCCGCGCTTTAAAACCCTCTATCATTCATCCCCAGACAAGTGCAAGAGTGACACCCTGTCACAAACAATGTGAGCTAAATTGCTAGGTGCCAGTCATATTAAAGCAATCTTAAGATCCCACTGATCTCGGCAGTTGTTGTCATCAGTGCTGTAAATGGCAGCTCTCACTCCTCTGAGGTACCATCTGCATGACACGACACATTCAATGTCAAGCTCTTGACGGAAGCCGACTCAGCTGCGGGGCTGTGCCAGGCTCCCGGGTCGCCTTCAGGAGCCCATCAGGCCACATCAAGACCCCGCGCGGGCTCGGCGTGCTGTGATCTGGATGGTCCAGGGAGGAGAGGAGAGAGAGGAGAGAGGAGAGAGGAGAGGATTCTCCGTGCCACAGGCTAGAAACTCACGGGGAAATTTACTGTCAAATGATTTCAAATGACTTTGTTAAGATTGTGTCACATCCTGCATGCCTGACGTAATTTTATTCATCTGGACATTTTCTTGACCTCTGGAGGAAACTTTAAAACTCTGGTGTGTGGCGATGGATCGTGCTCATCATTTTTTGGAAGTCGGGAGAGACCTTGAAAAATGGGCAAGTGGCTGGAATGAGGGTCTTTGCCTTCAAACTCCAGAAGACAAGTCTCTCAGCTACAAATACACACACAACAGCTATTTTGGTGGCATCTATCACTAATAAAGTGTCATTTATTTAAGTCGGGGGACCCATCTATTGGCAGAGTCTCCCAGCCGGCGCTTGGTTTATTGCTGCCCTCTACGGGCTTCTGTGAGCTGCCAGCCTGCTCTGAGCAGCCCTGCCTGCACCCAGCCATCCTCCAGGAACAGCTCCAAAAGCCACCTAAGAATAAACCCTATCATTAACACATTTGTGGGAGTAAGACTAAAAGCGATGCTTTAAGCATCTTGCATCCTCCTTAAAACTACCAGCGCTGACGGGAGATTGACAAGTAACAGACCAATAGCAGGAGCACACCCGTGCACATTCGAGGCTCTGAACTTTGGGTGCATACCGTCCTACCGGCAACACAGGAATTCAAAAGATTAACACGAAGAAATCTAAAAATAACCTAGTGCCCCACAGCACAACGTTCAGCCGACTCCTGCAGCGTTCATTCAGTTATACTTGCAGTATCTTGCTGCCACCTCCTGGAGAAGCTCTCGAATGAGCTTTATTTATGGTAAGATCCTGGCGATTTCGTCTGAGTGGTGAGGGTTTGATTTCTCTGTGTTAGACAGTCTGAACTTCTGGGACTGCGTGACAAATTTAATTCCTGAAGTGAGTCAGTGCTAACTTAGGCTGACGTTGATTGAAAACATCAATACAACTAATGTTTTTTTCTTCTCTTGTATGCACTACAGCAACAGGTAAAATTAATTCAGTAGTTTGGTTTCTTCTTCTCTGACCCTAAACATGAGCTCTGAATTTCAGGCTCTTCTTCAAGCATAAATAACTCATCTTGGGACACAGAAAATATCCTTCATCCCTATCAGGGAGCCAACGACACCAACACAACAGTAACATACAGAAGCACAGGCAGACACTTCAGAGCTTTTACGCCTCATGTTAAAAGTTATAAAAGGGATGTACAACATGTGACGAGCCAGGGCTTATCTGGGTTCACGTCCTACTTCTCTTCTTAAACAGCTCAAGTGTGAAGCCCAAGCTCAGGATTGCCCAAGAGCCTGCTGTCAGGAGGCAGGTCAGGATCAGGATGGAGGGAGGGAGGTGACAGCTATCAATGGCCTCTGGAAAAGGAGCCAACTGTGCCATGCAGACAGCCTGCACCTAAACAACTCGAGCTACTGACTTCAAGGACTGGCACACCAGCCTGTCTGTCCTATCTTGCTGCCTAAAGCATTTACTGCAGAAAGAAGCTGATGTCCTGGCTACCCGTGCAATGTTTCTCCTTCCTTTCACAAGCAGTGGCAAAACAAAACCTGACAAAAGAGAGTCTAGAAAGCCTGGTATGCCACGATCATGCTTCACTGCTGAACAGCACTGTAGGGTCAAGTGGAGATTGCAGCTTGCCTTTCATCAGTCCTCTAAAATACTGTGCTTCACAGAGCCTGTTTTCTGTGGAAGCTTAGAAGTGGCCAGACAAGTGAAACAGTTAATAGCAGAAATTAATCTTACAGCCTGCTGAGTTCACACCAAACCATAGCTGAGTATGAGAGCAAGTGAGCAGATGGGATGGGCAAGATGAATGGTTTGAGTAATTGGAAAAAACACTGATACAGAGAGGAAACCAAAGGAAGACAGAGGAGAAATCTCTGCCCAGCGAGGGACAAACTCTCAAAGCAGCTGGGACTTCATCCAGGGACTCAATGAGAGCCAGGAAAGGAGCATCTAAGGAAGCTGAACTGAGTGAAACTAAAGGAAGGGAAAATAATCCAAGGCTGCCCTGGCTGGTTCATTACAAAAAAGGGAAACCACTTTGAGAAATAATTTGAAACAAAACAACAGAAGGCAAAGAAAGTGGGGAAAAAAAGAGAAAAAGACAAAGAAATTCAGGAAAGGGGAATCAGACAGCGGGAGACAAATGCCAAAGTTCACTATTCCCAGGCTGCTAAATTAGATCTGACTTTCCTGGCACTTGACCATATTCTGTCACCAGCTATATAATCCAACTGATTAATAAATACAGTAGATATGTATTAACCAGTCCTGACTCCGTCCTTGTTTTTCCAGCAGAGACTCCTGCTCTAGCGAGCGCTGCTTTCCCCAGGACCCTGCTCAAACCTGTTAATTGTTGTGCCTCACACTCTGAGCTCAGTCATTCACCTCCCCCTTTCCCACTGTTGACATACCACCACCCCACTTGGGTTAAGTTCCTAAATGGACCTTCCCTAGATTAACAGCATGCATTTTGTCCCAAGGGAGAGAAACTGTGCTAAGATACTGCCAGCTGTAATACAGCTTTCCACTTTGATGGGAGACTCTTGTCCTCTGGTTGCAGCTGTATGTTGCCTCCCGAGCTCTTTCCTGACACAAATGAGCAGAGGAGATGATCTAGCTTAAAGAAAAAAAATGTGAAAACAACAGTTTTCACATTTCAGCACATCCATTCAGCCCTAAGCAATTGCACATAGCAGTTGTCCCAACTTCTCTCCTCGAGCAGGAGATGTGTGTGTGTGTGTTCTCCCTGGGCAGGGCTGCATGAAGGGAAGCCATCCCACGTGAGTACAGATGGGACATGCAGGACCTACCATAGCCAGGTGTAACAAGCTGTGGCACCTGTTCAGCCAGAGGTTTCCAAACATTTTTTTATCACCAACACTCAAGGATTCTCAAGAACCACCACTCATGCCCAGTTCTCAGCAAGGGTCTAACTGAAAACATGATGTAATATGATTAACGGGGACCAGCCTCGGGCCATTTACCTTGACTTGAGGACCTCAGTCTAGAACCACTGGTGTAGTACAGTGCAATTTTGTTGAATTATTTTCAAATTCTATTAGTTAATTGGAGTTACTGAACACTTATTTAATTTCACTTTATCCCGAGTCAGCTGAGTTTTGCTAAAAGCAGGAACTGTCACAGTTAGTCTAAATTATAACGAGTTCAGAGTGTCTGTCACTAGAACAATAGATCCAGGCGTAGACACTGCAACTGGTTTTAATCTGCAGAGAGTTGATCTGGTTGCAAAAACATTCTGCAAACACCATCAGACACAATCAGCTGAAAACTGCTTCAAGCTACTCAGCAGACATGTCATCCAGGTATCATGGAGTGTTACTTCCCATATGCTGCCAGAGCACAGAAACGGGGTTATGACAAGAGAAGAACAGATTCACTCTGAAATCTCAGTGTAATTAATTCACTTGCCCTTAAGAATCTTTATAAGAAATTTGCTATTGCAAAGCCAGCAAACCCAGCAGAACCAGCAACGGTGTTGTTGCCAGCACAGCACATCAGACCTTGTGAAGACTTAATACGAGCTCTGTCAGCTAGCAAAAATCCCAGCTTTTGCATGACCAAGGGTCTAGCTGGCAAACTGGCTGAAATTTGTATGCTGTGCTCAGGCAGTTGATATAGCAACTTAAACACTTGTAACATCTGTGATGGATGTACATTTTCTTTCCTAACCAGTCACAGAGGACTTTGCCCTAAATTGCTCCACTGCTTTCACTTCCCACTGCCACTGGCATTACTGTTGCCTTTACGAAGCATTTTCCTCACTTGTGATGCTGAGGACCATTTCCATCCAAGCTCAGGGCCATATTCTGCCATCGCTTTCACGCTGCATATCTCAGGATTTAAAATTAGGCAAGTAACGAGTCTTTGCCATGTAATTTACATCTAATCAGTATTCTGCTCTTCTGCTGCTCATCTCAAAGGGTGTCTACGAGAAGGGTGGGCAGCGTGCAGAGAGAGGACTGCGACTCATTCGGAAGAGAAGACTATCCCCTCTCAACGCAGGGGTGCCTGCTGGGGGAGCACCACCTCAGCCAGCCGTGCCACGCCACAAACCTTCCCCGAGGGGCTGAACCAAGCCCACCCCGCAACGCACGCCCTGGGGAGCTGAGGCCCCCTTCTAGAAACTGCACAAAGGAGCCGCTCTCACCCACTACACCCAAACAAACCGGCTCCGCTCCTGTACAGCCCTCGCAGCTACACAGACACAGAAGGTGCGAGGGATTATTCCACCCAAATCACAAGGCAGTTATTGCTCCTTTCCCCTTCCCTCCAGGGCTTACACAAGCCAAGCGGCAGTGGCAACGCTCCCTGCAGAGCTCCTTTTTCTACATACGTGTGCAGAGCCTCCGTTCATACCAGCGAGGCATCACTGACACAGAAGAGACAAACTGTCATCAACACCTTCCTCCTTGGTGCCGCCCATGCAGTTTGGCACCTTTGTGCCTTGTTTAGACGGTTATGAAGTGCCTGAGTATTTATTACCATGAATTTCTTAATCGCTGGTACCAGAAGGCAGAGCGGTGCCACCCAATAGCACCAAAGGAACTGAGGCTGCGTCCATCTGAAATGGGGAAAGAGGAAGAGCAGGAGAGGGACAGGACCAGAAGGAGAAGGTTACTCTCCAGGGGACAGGAGAGGAGACAGAGCTGCAGTAGAAGATGCTACAGGTAAGGGACAGAGACAAGGGATTGGAAAGGGAGCATTTAGTTATTCATCCAAACATGCAGCCCTGCCCTCTCGGCACTGGCGCGGACTGCCCAGACCACTACAGCCCACTCTAGGCTTTGGACTCCACCTCTCAGCTCTGGGGCAAGCAGGGGGCTGGTGCAGGTGAGCAAGCTCCTGATACAGGGGCTGCTCCTTGTCCGTTCTTTATGTAACAGAGCCAGCTCACCTTCCTGCAGGGGTATTTTCTGTCTGGGGTTTAGCAGAGTTCAGAGCATCCCGGACATCAACACCTTTGCTGCCGATCCCTGTTCATATCAGCACCCATCCTTTGCATTGCATGAAAAGCAAATGACAAACATACGGACAGCAAAGTATTTTTATTCCATCTTTATTGCCTGCTGACATGTTCAATATGCTCAAACTACATCTGAGGGACTGCATAGAGAGTGTTTCTTGTTTATATTTGATGTACGGCAGAACACTTTACATTGCACCAAATGTTGAGCAAACGGTAACATAACAGAGAAGCTGCAGTGGCAGCTGGAATTTCTGAGGTGGGCTACAGAGACTCTCTGGGGGCAAAAGTCTGCTCATCTTATTCAAATGAATTGCTTTTCTGGCCAAATTCTGCTCTGATATGCCAACTGACGAACACAGACCTAGTAACATGAGAAAACATGGAATAACTCCGAGAGCTTCAGTTCCACAGCAAGCTGAAGAATATATAGCAACTGAAAACTAGAGAAGTAGCTGCAACCACACAGAATGGCCAGAAGAAAGGCTCTTTGAGAGAGACGTGGCAATCCATGTTTAAACCTGCATCCCTTGCACAGAAAAGTATTGATAGATTTATTTATAGGAGAATCTATGTTAGGAAAGAGCTTTCTCCTCTTTGGAGAATCCTTGTTCACAGGTAGAAAAGTACTGAGAACCTGGATTAATAGACTGAATTGTCCCTCAGGGAAAAGCAATACTAGTTGCTCTAGGTGATCACAAACTGCCTCAGCACTTTTAAACTGTAGAGAAAAGTAATCCCTCAATCCCTGCCCAAGAACAGTCACTTAATTATTAGCCTCTGCTGCCTCTTACGCCTGAGACAGTTTGGGATTTACCTCCAGTGGTCTAGCTCTGTAGGGTGCTGGGTTCCCCTGTGAGGTGCCAAGAGCCAAGAGCAACCCGGCCAGTCCCTGCAACGAGGGTGCATTCACAAAACAGGTGCTTCCAGGAATGGGTCACACAGATCCTAAACCCATCACTTTTCCCTAAATCTAAGTACACTACTTGGGCAGATAGAGGCATCGTCTGTGGCTGCTCTACACTAAGTGTCCCACTTTCGTGGCCATTTGGACCCCATCTGGAGTACAAACCAATCACTTTAATTGTTGCTGCTGCTGCTACTTCATTATTGGACTAGGTACTCAACTGGTCTCTCTAAATAGGCTCCTACCTACATGTGTCATGCACATCATAAATCTCCTTTACCTCCCCAGGATGTATTTTTCTTATCTGCCACACAATTTAGTGTTATGGAGGCTGGCAGTGAAGGCCAAGCAAGGAATGCAATTAAGCTTCCTACTGAGATGGTTGAACTTGGAGTAATAACTAACCTCAGAACAAACTCATCAGGTTACACTTGGTGATTTAGGACCAGAGGAGCCAGCTGTGTAAGCTGCAAGATGGACTGCATGGACTCTCCCCTTACCAACACAGGAAAGCCAAGACACAAGGATGCTCCATTCCAAGTGTGGAGCCTGGTCAACCTGGTTTACACCATCTCTCTTCTTACACACGGGTGAAATTCCAGCCCCTCTGCAGCAGATCTGTCACCCACTTCAGTAGGATTTCACCCTCTGACTTGATTGCTTTGGATCTGTGCTGGCACAAGATCTCAGCTGGATCCCATCAGAGCATCTCTCGTGCTGCTTTCATCACAGGGCCCTGCACAAAGCTTTTATTTCTCAGTCTTGGAGACAACATACTCTGAGGAACCCAGAGAGGAGGGAGAAGAAGATAGACACAAGAGAACTCTACGGTTTCATCATGTTGGTGTGAAGATGGATCTGTTCAAACTGGGGCCCCACACTTCTGTGGCCAGTGCAGTGTTTTCAGCTGCCCTTGGGAAGGTGAGGGAAGATCTAACACAGCCAGTACTGACCACATCCTTTTATGTCCCAGCAGAGATCTTCTGCCTGTTTCCTTGAAATTCTTACCCCTTGTCAAATATACAGGTCTACTGAACTGGGAGGGCAGAAAGAGAAAAAAAGAAAACAGGAAGAAAGACATTGCAAAATGACAGAGGAGAGCTTCAGACAGTGAGAGGCAGTACTGAATGTCAAGGCAAGATAAATGCCAAGAATGATACAATGACTCTGGTGTAGTCAGTGATGAAACTTCTGTAGATTTCAATGGACTTCAGATTTTACCTGGAGGCTCAAAAGGGAGCATTTGCACCCAAGTACCTCCAGCCAAGACAGATCAAGCTTCCTCCTCATCTCATTAACTCCTCACTAGAATTGGTTCTACACTTCACCAAGCATTCATGTGTGTCAGGAAACTCAGGGCTAGAGGTCTGCAACTGGGATATCCTTGAGGAGATCTGAATGTTTAGAAAAAAAATCCATGACTTGACAGACATCCTATGCAGAACTGCAGCTCAGCATCAATTACAGAGCACCGAAAATGGCCAGAGGAAAGACTTAAATATTTTATACTGTGATTTAAGATCACTTCTAGTTAAATCTGTTACCTGGACCAGGACAAAGAATCGTTTTTTCCATCTCTTCCAAACATTTTTACCAATGGCCCATAAATACCTAGAAGAAAAGAAGAGGTGAATTCAGTACACAAGTGACTATATGTTGTTCTCTTGCTTTTCAGGAGGTTTCCTTTACACCTAGAAACTGAAGTTAATGCTCAAGCAGGAGTAATTACAAGACTCTTAAGCTCAGCAGCATTCATGAGCGTGTTTATTTCTAGCCTGAACAAATAACCTGTAAAGAAAGCGACACAAAAAGCTCCCAGAGTCTTAATGTTACACAGTATTAACGCTCTCTTCCTCTTTGTCTTTCACAACTTGCTTAGAATTTAGAAGCCCTTTAATGCCACTGAATAGCTGTGACATGGTCAGATGGGTGAAGAATACATTTGCAACAGAAGAATTAAGGGAGAGAAACCTCAGATGTTGCATTAAGCCTTCACAAAACCATTTGGCTGAGGGAAGCTGTCAAACAGACGGACGCTTACTGCATCAAAACCAGTATCCAGGATCCCAGTATCCACTGGGCTGACTAAACCAGGACACTTCACTGAACAGCTTCAGATGAATTCTGAGAAATTACACGGCTACGGATATTCAAGCGAACAGAATAATTTCTAAAAAGGAGTGAATTTACTGTTTTCTATAAAGGAAGAATTAATTTTTAAAATTAATGTCAAAATAAGCATTTAATCGTTGTGATGAAGCAGCCACTGCAACACTGTAATACAAACACTGGCAAAAATAGTGGCAGCACCAGACTAATAATAAACACTAGGCCATTATTCAGCATTATGTTTTATGCATCATTTTAATTACTTTAGTTCTGGCTCAATAAATAGAAGAAGAGATCCAGGATACTCTTGGTGCATGTTTAAGACACAAAACTCCAGGTTGTGCTACAGTGGGCACTGAGTCCTTGGCTAATTCAAGAACAGGGTAATAATTATCCTTTTTGCTATTGCCAACAACACCAACAGAAAGACAGTCTCATTTCTCATAGCAAGCCAGTATTATAAACCACATAGTTTTAGGCAGCATCTTGTAAATCAAATGCTAGTTGATGAAAGCCTGAGAAAAGCCAGACTGCTCAGCTCTGCTGCTGTCAGCTGTGGTCAAGGAAACACATACGACAGATGAACTGTCCTTTCTTGCTTTTGGTGTCTGTGATCGTGGTGGAAGAATTAAACTTCACATATGGCTATTGGCTTTGATCTCATTAGCAGAGAAGACAAGAGGAGGAGAAGGAATTCAAAAAAAGATGAGTGATCCAAACCATTTAATAATGGACTGAATCTAATAAAACACAATGGAAATAAAAATGAAACAAAGTCACTTTTATAGCACCAGAAACATACTGGATAAAGAGTTAATCAAACCAGTGACTTTCCCAGACAGTTTCTATTTTTTTATCACATCCTCAGCTCTGATGAGCAAACAGAGGAAAGCCCTGCCAGGGATGATCTGATTTGTAATTGCATGGCAAGAGGGTGGAAGCTAGGGGTGGGTGGTCAGGGATCCCCTGACCCCAGATCCTCTGACACATGTCTGGAGGGGAGACGTTTCCCTTTTCACCTCCAGATCATTAGTCCTATTCCAGGAAACTGCTATTTAATTGTGCTGTTTATCCCTGTGTAAATAATGATGATCAGACTAGAGTTTATTTCAGGTGGAAGGTGGACTGTGCTTCTGGTTCTGAGAATCCAATATGGGGAAACACAGAATAATTTAGGAAATTACACCATTCTCAGAGTCAGGTAGTTCACCTGTTATTTCCATACAGGAGAAAAAAAACAAACAAAAAAACTCCAACAAACTAGCAATTTCCTGAGGAATACTGTTTACAGTTTAAACCATATGACTGACATGCATCAAAAAGTCTATGCTACAAGTAAAGAAAGTGCATTATAAATGACTGAACTAATGCCATTTTTATACTTATGTTTCTTTTGACCTCCTCTGAACTCTGGACTAAGAGTTTCTTTCCAGAATCTTAGAGAAATTTTCTAATGCACGTTTGAAATATATTGAGTTCAGACCAAGACAAGTGTTTACCCAGAGTGCTTCATGTTTTGAGGCTTATCCATTCGCACGGCAAGCTTGATCTTCAGGTCTTGATCCGGGCAGTTTTTGGAAACAGTCATTTTGTGCCACTCTGATTGCTTTGGGCTGTTGGGAGTAGGGTGGAGAACAACCTGCAAGTGTGAAAATCAATATCGTTAAAGGGAAAAATTATTCACAAAATGGGTTTTAATGGGGAACAAAAGCATATCAGATGAGCTACTTTTTTGCCCTAAAAGTCAGTCTGGTAATTTCTGTTCACATCAGTGAGGATGGCTTTATATTGCTTTTTAAAAGTACAGCTTATTATTTTTAGAGATGAGCTCATATATTCTTTGGCTCCTCTATCTACCACACCATTGTTCACGGGGTTGTGCAGAACAAAACTGCATTATCAGTTCCCATCATTTAAAGAAAGTTTGTAGTAAACAAACTTGTATCTATCCAGGTAAATCAGTCTAGAAGTGATGGCAGGCTAATGTGATTAGCAAACCAGCAACAAGGGTTTTCTGAGGGTGCCCACTGCAATCACCCACTTTCAGACTCATACAGCTTGGCCAACCTCCACCAGCCTTCCTGACACTTCTCATTTGAGGTGTGCTCTTTGGAGGGCTCAGAAAACTCTATCTCAAAAGGTTCCTCTGTTACTACTACACGGTTGTGGGGAAGCTGACTTGATTTTTTGTGTACTTTTTAGGACTGGGAGCAGTAGGCAACACTTTAGGTAGGCTGGTGTGTCTCCCTGCACTACAGCAGCAGACAAAATCTGCATCCTGTGTCACGGCATCAGTGGCTGCAAGACTTTTCTACCACTTCATGCAGCGAGGAAATGATGGGACAGTCTCTAGCTGGGGTAAATCAGTGCAACACCTATGTACAAATACTTGGTTCATCAAAGAAACTGAGAGGCTCTGAGGTGAGCAATCTCTCCTGCTCACAACTGTGCTTTTCCCACCTACTCGTTACCCCTACAAAGCAGAGCAGGTCCCTCAGACAGTAAGCCACAGAGTATTCTCTCAGAACTACATCACATCCATCTTCTCCTGGTGTTTCCACATCTGTCCTCTGAGGTGGCTTAACTCTCTCCCTCCCACATCCATTCCTCTTCTGATGCTTTCAGTCTCAAAGGTGACTTTGCCTGGCACAAATGCATTCGTCTCCACTGTCCTGTAGTGAGATGCACCTCCTTTAAACCCATTAACCTTTACACAAGTAAATTATTTTATAAATGGCAGCATTCACCCTTGTTATTTGATGTGCTGCCATCACTCATTCCTTGCTCACAGTTATTCTGTGCTCCAGCCAAACTCCAGCCCAGGCTTTAATCATCTATTCCTCTGCTCTTCAACGTTAATGGTGAGTCAACAACCTAGGAGCTGTTTTCCACCAAAATATCCTTGACACTATTGCCCTCTGACAAATGATTTTGAAAATTATTTTATTGCCTCCTCCAAAGCTTGGGGTTAACATCAGTAGATCCTTGACTTCACCCTTATTCATCCACATTACTTATCACTACTTTTATTGAATTAGACTAATGCATTCTCTGACAGGAATCTGAAGCTGCAATTAGTTACATAGATAACACCAGTCTCCACTGCATCACTCTCTGAAAAAAAAAAAACTTTTAAGCAAAACCTGAAGATGAGAAATGAGTCCTCCATGCAAAGGATTGTTAGAAACATGTATGGGCCCCAGCTGAACAGTATTCAAGGGCCCCCACTACAAGATAGGTCATGCAAGCACAGACTTGCACTAAACTGCATCCCTTAGCAGGCAGCAGCCACGCAGGGTGTTTGGGATGCTCTCTTCTTTGATTTCTAACTCTTTTTCATGAAAAGGCACATAAACCTTGCTCAGTGTTGTTGTAATTCATGGCTCTTCCCCTCCTTGCTCTCAGAAAATGAAGACTTGGCATGGCCGAAATCCCTGGGAGCCTTGCCACCAGCTTCAATAGGGCCAGGATGTATTCCCATGCCTTCAGCTGCCCATCCAGCAGTTTAGGGCTTGGGAGCATTTTCCAGCTCTCCTTTGGATAAAAGTGGTGAGATGAGGAGCGCCGGCTGGCTGCCAATTCAACACTTGCAACAGAAAGTGGGCATTGTACGTGGCTGGCAGAGCAGAAAGCCGCTTCTCAAAGGGCAGCTGAGCACGGGTGGTTTTGTGTGTATAACCTGCTTCCTCCTCTCTTCGTGCAGACAGGCTTGTGCCCACTCCAGCAGCTAAACCAGGGGCTTAACACGCTCCCCGTTTCATTACTTTGTTAAAGGAAAGATCCTGCTGCAGCCTGAGCAGACACGCGGCATCTCCCGGCCGCTCCAGGCACCCCAAGCATCCCTTTGAAGCTCGGCCGCCTGAAAGCCCCGATGGCCACGGGCCAGGGGAAATCACCACCCGGCTCTGCTGGCCCATGTCCTGCGGCCCGCAGAAGCTCAGAGCCAAGGGATGGCTTCCTGCTGGACAGGGAACGAAAGCACACTGCTGGGGCTGGCTCATCAGCATTTTGGGGCAAGAGAGGTTGCTCTGGGGCCTGACATCTTTCTCCGAACAACAGGCACAGCTAATTGCTTCCCGAGACCAGCAAAGTCAGCACTGCTCATGGCTGCCCGTGGAAACAAGACTTCCAAAGAAAAGGGTCCACACTAAGTGGAACTGCTCAGGGGAAAAGCCCCGAATGGCATCTGAGCAGCTCTGCTCAGCACACTGCAGTGCATACGGGCAGGACCGACGGGCTCTTTGGAGAAGGTTTTGAAAATAATCCTGAAAACATTACAATGCTGTGCAGCAAAGGAACTGTAGGTCTTTGGCTGGAGCACTGCATCCAGTAGTGGGGTCATCCCCTTTGTCAAAAAAGGAGGAATCAAGGTGTGGATGAGCAAAGTACAAAGCGGCTGTAATTCTCTTTGAAGAGAAAATTGAGAAAAGGGAAAAGAAGAAGAGGTTAGCTTTGCTTTTCTCTCAAGTCCAAGAATAAAGGATGTTACACAAAAACACAAACACTTAAAATGAGCATAAATTATGAGACAAAGTCACATGCAGTGCTCTCTACTATAAAGACATAAATTAAATCAATAGCCCACTAGGACCTGAAAGAACGCTTGGCACTTGTGTGAAAAGGATGAACACGAGACCATGTTAATTAGGAAAAACTTTGTTGTATGGACACAGACTCCCCTGTGTGAAGGCACAACTAGCCATGGAGTTAGCAAGAAGCACCCCAACAGGCTAGTCCATAATTGGAAATACTGTACTTGAGCTTGCCACAGGATCAGTGGCTTTCTTGACCATGGCCACGTAGACAAGTCAGACAGCAAGGTGTGCTGCAGAGCTGGGCAGACAGGACCCAGGCTGCTCCTGGAGATTGCTCAGGCCACACTCAGCTGTGACATGGGAAGTGCCAAGTCCATGTGTAAGATGTAGCCTCTGTTATCCTGAAGTTATTTTCATGGAGTCTTCACCACGCTGATCTCGCATGCCTTAAGAGTGGAGGGAGGCACGCCAGGGAGTTTGCTGCCACTTTACGCCTGGGGCCAACACAAATAACAGAGCTGTAAAAAATCCACGGAGACTCCCTCAAGTGTCCCAAAGCTACAGAAAAGTGCTGTGCACAGATATTCTGGAGCTGTGCACTGCCGTGATGGAGGGCCACCAGTCCAAGGGCACTGGTTTAAAGACCACAGATGAGAAGCTAGCTGGTACTCCAGGAATTTCAACTCTTTGCTGTTAATATAATTGATGGGGACAACGAACCCCCACGGTTCACTCCCTAGTCCAGCCTGACTGAAGCCCCAGCTCAGCCACAATCCCCAGGGCAAGCCAGGATCCAGGCCCTTCGCGGCCAGTACCGCAGTCAGTGCATTCAAACGCTCCAAGCACGCACTGGCTGCTCAGCAGACAGGAGAGCAGCTTAACGCTCTCTTGCCAAACTTAAACCCTCTCTTTTTGATTCAGCATAATCCCCTTTTCTGCCTCAGGAATGTCCATTTCCGCAAGCAGCTTCTGAGGCTTTCCGGCCTGCCAGTGTCGCACACAAGTGCTCTGCCTTCTCCCCGTGCAGGCACAGCCAGCTGAAATGCTGCCACCGAAAGCTCACAACAAAGCCAGCATGTGAGATGCACTCCTTTCCAGCAGTGGAGAACTCGCTTTTTCTCCCTCTCTCTCCTGAAGCTTGGCAAAAATCCAGAGCATGTTGTGCTCCAAAGATATTTCCGTACAGGAGAGATTTCTCCAGAAGAGCAGGGCCAGAAGGAAACGTTATTAAACTCCAAATCTCCTTACCCTCCCAAGCTCTTTGTCCTCCAGAGCCAGCACCCCCGTGCTCTCTGTGAACAGCTTCACCTTCACTGCAGGGAGCGCGTGTGTTGTCGTGAAGTCTCCTTGGGTGCCCCAGCTGTGGAAATAAGGACAGAGAGACATTGAGGGCAGGCAGGGAAGTCAGCAGCACTACGGCTTGGGCATGCAATGGTTAACTGAAAATGTCCTGTCTGGCAAAAGGCAAAGTGGCTGGGCTGTCTGAGTGACAAAGAGCACTGATTATCTTTGGGAAATGTGGGACAGATGTTCAGAAAACCCATGATTGTTCTTTGGGGAAAAAAAAGGGAGTATTTGGGAGAAGCATAAAACCAAATTTAAGAGAATTTTTTTTCCATAAAGAACAATACGTCTCCTGCAGCAACAGCCTGCATAGTCACAACAGAAGTTGAGGCTTGAGGACATCTGCACCTAGGACATCTGTAATCACTCGTGCCTCTGCTCTTCTCTTGGCTAATCAACCTCTCCTTTCCAGGCTGATCGTGAGCTTTGCTTTGTCTGAAGAAGTCCCAGTTAACCTGAGTCCTCTTTTTGAGTCCCAGCCCTCCAGCCTAGCCCAGGTTTAAGTTCAATCCATCACAGCTGGAGCAATCCCAGTTCCCTGAACCTGCAAAGAGGGAAACCAGCTCCTTGGAATGGGCCAGCAGTGGCCAGGAAGTGGCTGGCTCTCCAACTACGCAATGAGTTGAGACCACTGTCTACTAAGTACTCCAGGAGCACATGGTCCTGTGGCTTGGAAAGGAGAAGTACACTGAATGACCCACAACGTGTGAAAACCCCTCTAGACATGCATGCGTCTAGAGGACATCTCCAAGTTTCTGCAACCACAAGCTGCCCAAGTGTGCAGAGAACGTAAGTCTTTCCCTGTGGGACCCTGCAGGCAGAGGGTCCCAGCCACAGTCTCCTGACACCTATGGCCAGACTTGCCATTATAAGTCTTACAAGGGCAGCCCACCACAGCTGACCTTCCCCACGTGAGAGTGGGAACTGCAGCAGCCCCACAGCTCATGGGAGGGAGGGCTGGTGATGAGCCTGGTGCTGCTGTGCCAGACATTTCCTCTCTCAGCCCCGACACCTAGAAAGGCTTTGAGGACAGAGCTGCAGTTTGGCCACAGCTCACTGCTCTCTGTTTTAGGGACTTTTCTCCTGGGCTCTGTTCTCATCCCAGCCAGCAGTGTGCTGCAGCTGGAGCTGCTGCCTGGAGACACTCGAGAGGGCTCACCTGAGCTGTGCTGACAAGCCCCCTCTGGAGGTTCCCTTAAAGATACCCAGACTTTACACTGCAGTTAGCTTTGATTTAGAGAGATTGCAGGGAAAAGAAACCCATAAACACCAAGTCTGTTCAACATCCTAAAGGCCACAACTTTCTAAGGAGGTTAATGAATCATAGAATCCTTTAGGATGGAAGAGACCTTTAAGATCCTCAAGTCCAACCATTAAGCCATTAGGGCTCTAAAGTCCTCTGCTAAAACAGATCAGAATCTGTCAGGGTTGGAAGGGACCACAAGGATCATCCAGTTCCAACCCCTCTGCCATGAGCAGGGACACCTCCCACTAGATCAGGCTGCCCAGAGCCTCATCCAGCCTGGCCTTAAAGACCCCCAGGGATGGGGCCTCAACCACCTCCCTGGGCAACCCATTCCAGGGTCTCACCACTCTTATGGTGAAGAACTTCTTCCTCACATCCAGCCTGAATCTGCCCACTGCCAGCTTTGCCCCATTCCCCCTGGTCCTGTCACTACCCGATAGCCGAAAAAGTCCCTCCCCAGCTTTCTTGTAGGCCCCCCTAAGATACTGGAAGGCCACAATAAGGTCACCTCGGAGCCTTCTCTTCTCCAGACTGAACAGCCCCAACTCTCTCAGTCTGTCCTCGTAGCCTCCACAAGTTGCTCACCTGTGCTAAGGGTTTTGAGATACAGAAAAACACTCCCCTTTGGCAAACAGGCACAGACTGAAGAGGGTCATGTAACAAAAATTAAGTGGAACTTGAACCAATGCCTATTTGTAAGCTTTAAACTATTCTGAAAACAGCAGAGAAGAGAATACCTTCTGCACTAAGGGGGAAAAAGTCACAATGCTTTTGTGTTTGAGACTTCACAGCTGTATTTCAAGCTTTGTTTCTACAGCTTAGAAAGTGAGAAATTTACTAAAATAAAGCTAGACAGAAACTTCCAGATGGATCTAAGCAAAGCACTCCTAAAACTGCACTTGCCCTTGTTGGCAGAGAACAGCTCAGCCAAAGATGAAGGGCAGAGGGAGGACTGGTGCTGGGGGAAGAGCACATCACTGCAAGGAGGATGCTCCCAAACATTTGATCAAAGGCCCAGTATAAAACTAGCAGATGAAAATTGTTTTTTCTTTTTTTATTGTCTTTTTTTTTTTATAATTATGAGCTAGATTTCTGTGTTGTTTCCAGAGACCTTGAAAATTCATCACACTTCAAAACTCATGTAAAGCACACAAGGAAGCTTGAAGAGGAATCACAGACAAGGTACTTTTTGTAACCTAGAACAAACCAAGGGTGTGCTGTGAGCAACACGTCCAAGTGATGGGATGGAACACACACTGCAACCTGGAATACTGTAACTCAGGTAAGAGGTTATACAGTCTCACTAACAGCTCTAGTCACTCTCATGCTATTAATTACACTTTCTCATTTTGCACTGTCCTCACCCTAGATCCTTTGCTGAAGAAAAGCAGATCCCTGAAACGACTGGGAAAAGGCTCATATGACATGTGGCTCAGCTCTTCCAATATAAGCACCAAACAGCAGGTTTTGCATTTGGAAAGTTAATGGGAAAAATAATTTACTCCTTCCTGTACACAAGGACTGTGGGTTCATACTTTGCTCTCCACTGAGCAAATCTTGTCCAGACGAGCATGTTCAGTGCAGAGCTGATTAATGAACTCAGTTTCCTCATCAGCTTTGCTCTGAAGTTTTCCCTCCCAGTGTCACCATTCCACATATCATCCTTTATGACAATGCATCAAACTGCCACCAGAGCCAGAGAGCAGAGGTTTGGGATAAATGATCTGCAGCTCTACAGGTCCAGTCAGATCCTCAATGTTGTACCTTTTTCATGTGTGAGCCATCAGCTACTTAAGAAACAATCAAGCATAAGAACTAAGAAACCACCTTATTTTCTAAATTGCAGCTTCAGATTACAGGTTACACTTTCTCTCTTGAAAAGACTGTGTTGTCACCAGCAGGGAAAGTAGGAAAATGATCTATCTTCGGGAAAGAGGCAAAAGAAAATATCCAACCTTACGCTGTGTATTTTGACAGCATCTGCTTTATAGAACTCATATCTCTGTTTACTATTAAAAAGCTCTTATTTGCTGAAGCATTCCCAGACCATATGTTATCAACAAATGTTACTAACCAAATACAAACAGTAATTTTCATTAGGTTTCCTTCATGAGAACAACGTTAACCACAAAGGGAAAAAATGTTTCAAATGACAGTAAATATACATAGCAGACCCTTGACAACACTGTGGTGCTTACACATTCATACCCTCAAAGCCCTGAAAAGATCTGCACTAACAAACAGAGCCCCTCAGAAGTTGGGTTTTGTGCAGGTTGAAGCCTGCAGTGATGTCATTAGTTGCCATAGTGATGTTCAGCATAAGGCCGTAATTCATGTCACAGACATCATTTGTATTCAATCTAAGTATGCAGTTTATCTGTGCTGTGTATTAAATTATTGTTCAGAAAATTAGCTCTGGACAGCAGTTAAGTGTTAGGATCTTCTGAGGGACTAACAATGTAATGGTTTCATTTCTGTGTTTAATAATTAAGCAGGCTATCACTGCAAGAGTTTATTTGTTGGGAAAGTGCCTTGGGACTCATTCTGGACAAATCTTCTCGTGAAGCAGCCATGCTATCTTGTCCCCACATCTCAGAGCTCATGCTCGCTCTTCAAAGTAATAATACATCTGCAAACGAAGACAAATACTGTCATTCTGGCCAAAAGTAGATATATATACATACACACACACATACCCACAGAAAAGAAGTACACCAGCAGAAAAATACTGACAGCATTTTCCCAGTTAGGACCATTTTAACTACCTGAAACCCTCAGCCTAGCATTGCTTATTGCCCAGGGTATCCTAAAGCCTGGCCAAGAAATGTTGCTGTGCACAGGGGCTTTGCTAGAATTACTGCCCTATTTATGGCATCTCTGCTGTTCCAGTGATATCACTGGGATCTGCTTGTGTCTGCAGGGTTTCTAGTTGGGCCTCAAACTTCAGCTGTGTAGCTAACATCTTCTAGCTGCAAAGAGACAGAAGACAAGAAGATATGCCTCAGGTGCTAGCCTGACAAATGCTGGCCCTCATTTTACCTTTTCCAAGCAAAGTAAATAGATCATCACTGTAGGCTTTGTGCCCATGCATTCACCTACAGGTGCCACCACAGTCACTAACCCAACAGCCTAAAGTGCTGAGACATAAAATCACATATCCAGAGGGCATGAGTGGAAAAGGGACAAAGGTCAACCTTGTCCCCCTATCTCCATGGGCTCGTCTAATGTGAAGCACTTGAAGGATGGGCTTACCTGTCTGATTTTGGGAGCATTTGGGAGCTCTCACAGGCACTGTCCTTACCAGTACACAGAGGGAAAGTGATGTCACTGCCAGTGCAGGTGCCAGGCTGCTCAGAACAAGCTGCTGTCAGCTGTGTCAAGCGACATGCTGGTGATCTAGCAAATCTTCAGGTTGATGTTACTCAGCCCTTCCAAACTGATGGAGAAAAGAAGACCACCTAGGCTCCTCACCTTGCTGCTGTACCAAACCTTTACCATTTCCTACCATAAAGTCACTGCAGAAACAACTGTCTTCATCCTACAGATGTCAAGTGCTTTTGGCTGTAGCCTCTGAGTGCTACCAAAATGCAGACACGGCAATTACAAAGTTAAAATTCCTACATAACCAAAAAGATGAAATCATTCAAACTCTACATCACTGCTATGTTACAATGTGTGATTACAAAACTATTTGGGATATGAATAAGGCTTGAGCAGAACCCTGCAAGGACCCTTGTCCTGACTGCACTCACATATCACACAAAACCAGG